GAGGAAGTCCAAGGTACAGTGAAGGCATTGGCAAAGAACAAGGCACCTGGAATTCGTGGAATGCAAATTGAAATCTCAACAAACTGATATACAGCTCTGAAAGCACTCATACATGCTAAGAAGTATGGAAGACAGGTACCTGGCCAACTTATTGGAAGAGACTCATATTTGTGCACATTCACAAGAGAGGTGACCCAATAGAATGTGTTGGACAATATCACTGGACAAATCATTGGGAAATATCATTAATATCACATGCAAGTAAAATTTTGCTGAAGATAATACAAAAATGACAGCAACAGTACATAGACAGGGAGCTGCCAGAGTCAGGCCTGACTGAGAAGACATGGAATGAGGGAAATCATTGCAGTTGTCAGATGGATCTTGGCTAAAAGCAGAGAATACCACAAAGATGTTTACTGGTGTTTTACTGACTATTCAAAGGCTTTTGTCATGACAAACTATGGACAACATTGCAGAGAGTGAATATTCTGGAACACCTAACTGTGTTCATGAGGAACCTGTAGATAAACAAACATGCAGTTGTTTGAACAGAACAAGGGAACACTGAATGGTGTAAAATGAGAAAAGGTGTGCACTAGGGTTGTATTCTTTCACCATACTTATTCAATCTGTATGTTAAGCAAATAGTCTGAGAAACTGGATTATATGAAGAAAAACATGGTATCAGAATTGGAGGAAAACTCACTAGTAACCTAAGATATGCAGATGATACAACCTTGCTTGCTGAAAGTGAAAAGAACTCAAATTACTGATGAAGATCAAAAGACCATAGCCTATGAAGTGGCAAGCTAAGCCCTACAGTGTTCAGTGGACTTCTGTGGACCCAGTTGGGGACCTGGTTGGCAAGCAGTGTGAAGAGGCCTGGGGACTCGGGCCCACAGTCAGTGGCATGGCCACGGAGGACTCAAGAGGAGAGCGGAGCTACCGGCTGACGGGAAGAGAGGACATATGCACAGGAGCACCCACACTTGCAGATGGTACCCACGTGACCTGGACCGGATGACTGGATGATCGGAGCTCAACCAGGAGAGGAAAGAAGAGGGGGGAAAAAAAAAAAGGAGTGAGCTGATACAGTCTGATGAACTTGACCTATACCTATGGAGCAGTGACTCAAAAGAGGGAACAAATGCTCACAGCAAGAAACATTTACACACACCCCCACACACAGAGTAAATGGAGAAGGGCAGCTTGGACATTGGATACTCAAATGGGGAGGGGGGCACTACAAAGGCAAGAAGTGACTGGCTTACAAGCTTTCAAGAGGGAACCTGGTGCTAGGGAGCATGGCGGAAGGCAGAATCTCTAGTAGGTACTATTCAATCTGTCTGGGCGGAGCTGATGAAAGGAGATACAGATGGGTAACTCGTGATACTGTAGTGAATAATGCTTATCAGGATGGACTATGAGGGTTGGAAATGCAAAGGTAGAAGTTTTGTAACAAGGCAGGGAGTGATTAATTCTCCAGGATAGGAGCAGAGGCCTCTGGGATCATCAACGGAGTAGAGCCGAGAGCGGGACCCTACCCAGAGAAACAGAGATGCCTGAGATAGAGACAGAGATGATGACGTGGAGTGATGAAGCGACTGGGGACTTTGGACCCAGAGAGGGAAAGGGACTGTGGGCTGAAAACTGGGGGGAGGAGGGAGAAGTGTAGGGGGCGGGTTTCTGGGATATACCCTTTGGGTGGTTGATGATGCATGGAGAGGATTGGAACCATGGCAATGAGATGATATACGATGGAATGAATGTAAAACTAAAGTTCTCCCATGTAAACTATCATATAATTCACAATAAAACATTAAAAAAAAAAAAAAGAAAAGAAAAAACGACCATAGCCTTCAGTAAGGATTGCATCTCAATGTAAAGAAAACAAAAATCCTTATCATTGGACCACTTAAAAATATCAACATAAACAGAAAAAAAGATTGAAGTTGCCAAAGACTTCATGTTACTCAATCAACCATCAACACTCATGGAAATAGCAATGAAGAAATCAAACAATACTACATTAGGCAAATCTGCTGCACAAGATCTTTTTAAAGTGTTCAAGAGCAAAGATGTCAGTTTGAAGACTAAGGTGCGCCTGACCCAAGTCATGGTATTTTCAATAACATCATATGCATATGAAAGTTGGCCAAGAATAAAGAAGACCATAAAAGAAATGATAATTTTGAATTAAGCTGTTGAAGGAGAATATTAAAAGCACTATGAACCACCAAAACAACAAACAAATCTGTGGGTCACAAGTGGAGTGCATCCTTTTGGACCCTGAGCCCCCCAAGAACATGAGACGGCAGTCGCAGGCTTCCTAGTCATGGAGCAAGTAAAGTTGAACACCTTTGGGTAGGAGGCTGGCTTGCAAAATAGGATGCCCTGTGGACATTTATTGGCGGCAATAAAGGAGTTTTGAAACATTTGCCAGGACAGGCAAGTGCCAAGGGACTGCAAGGCTGACAGGTGTTCACCAGTGGGCACAACTGAGAAGAGGCATTCCTGACCTGAAGGACAGTATTCTGGTTCTAAATTGTACGCCGTTAATTCCCTGGTAGGTAATTAGGTGCTGTAGGGTAAGCACTGGACTAAAAGGTCAGTTTGAACCACAAGGTTGGTGGTTCAAACTCACCAGCCACTCCTTGGAAACCCTATATAGTGTTGCTATGAGTCGTGGCACTTAGCAACAACAACAGCAGCAATTCACTCCTGGTGTGGCACTGTAGGGTAAGCACTGGAGTACTAAGCACAAGCTCAGTGATTCAAACCCACCAACAAGCTCTTTGGAAATCCTATACAGAATCATATGAGTCAGAACTGACTCCACAGCACTCAACAACAACTTCCCTAATAAATTCCATAAGTATTAATACGGTCTGTGAGTTGTGGTGGTCATTGCAACAGATTATTGAACCTAGAAGAGAAATAGAAAGTGCTGTGGGAGGGACATTTAATGTCAAAATTGGTAAGGAGGATGGAAGGGTAGAGGCAGGTCTGACCTCCTCCTCTAGGAATTAGCCTTGAGTGGATAGAGAGTTTGGTTCTGTGTCATCAGAGGTTCCAGTGCTGCCCCCATGCCATTCTCACACCATCTAAACAAGGAAACGACATTCATGAAGTCATAGCAATAGCAACTAGGAAAACAAAGAATATGAACTGCTAGACCTTGAAGGACCCTAGAGATCAGTCAGTCCTACCTCTTCATCGTACAGATTTAGACACTAAATCCAAGGATAAGTTGAATGGCTGCCCAGGGTCACACAGCTGGTCAGTAGCAGTTCCACCTCAGTTCCCCTATCCTGCCTACCTAATGGACTTGGATTCCCAATCCAATTTAAAACCCAGCCTTGGCGCTCTTAAAGGATTTACAGCTTATTTTCGCTCTTTCGCAATAGTTAGGAGCTTGTGACCTGTCACAGCTGCTGTGAGGGGGAAACACTCCGTCCAGAAAAATATTCTTACCCTTGAAGGGAAAGGTGCTAAGGATACCAAACCTCAAGTCATAAAAGTATCCCGTCTATACCAGTTATTTTAAAGATTCTAGGGTGTCTGGAATATCCAAAACACGGAGATGCTAGAGATAAGGCCTTCCCAGAGAAGGACCTTTATCTTTGGAATGTCTTTTTCTCCTGAGAGGTTCCATAAAGCCAACTTCATCAGCGTCTGGGGATGATTCTTTTGGAGTGCATGTTTGTTTAGTCACAGTGGTTTAGAATTCTTACACACCCATGAAAGTTTGTTTTCTTGTATTTAAACTACACCTAGAGTCAAAGGGACAAGTGAAAATGCTTTGATAAAGTGCAAAGCAAAACCGAAGAACATATAATACATTCCTAACAATTCTGAGACAGGACACCTCACACTCTCCTCCCTACTGTCTCCTCTATAGACCTTTAAATAACCTGACTAGTGTGCGGGAACCCACAATACCTCCTTTATAGTATCTTCATGGTCCTAGTGAATTGAAGGGATTCTAAGTGGAACCCTAAGTGCCCTGGCTCTTCTTTCCAGGGCACCAGATCCCAGATCACAGAAAGCAGGGCTAAACCCTGTATGTATCTGAGAACTTATAGATCATCTGCTATAAACTTGAAAAATAGACCAAGTGGAGGACCAACTTAGGTCAACTAGCAGTGACCCCACTGAAAATATCCGGAGATCACATTCAAGAACCATGAGAAAGACCACCTTAATTAATTAGCCATGTCTGCCAAGGGCACCAGGTTATGGAAGTGGGATTAGCTGGGTAGGTGACAGGCAGCATGCTCAACCCTAGTATTCATGAGACCAAATGGTAAATGGAAACCAATATTCCACAGTTCTTAATATATAATTATTAACCAAGTGGTGGCTGCTAAATGCCATCGAGTCAGTTCCAACTGTGTAGGCTTTCTGGGAAGCAGCTGATGGGTTTGAACCACCAACCTTTTATGGTTAGCAGTCCAGTATTTATCCTACAGTGCCACACCAGGACTCCATAAAGCAAGCTACCAAGCACTAAGTAAAATATGTTCTACACTCCTACATTGACAAATTATTTTTCATAATAACCTGGAAAATCAGGTTCAAATTTAGATTTTTATATATATAATTTTACTGTCTATTGGGTGAAGGTTTACAGAGCAGCTGTCCACTCAACCATTCATACACATTTTTTTCCATCTCATTGATTGCAATCCCCTCAAAGTAACATCATTTATCCCATTTCCTCCCTGTGTTTAAACACCAGGATGGTCATTCTGTCTTCTTTCCCAACCCTTCTGAACTTTGTCCTTGGGTAAAAGTTGCCCTTTGGATCTAATTTTTTTAAAAATAAATGGTTGCTTATTCTAAGATGTGCATTACTCATTAGTGTTACTGTTCCCCTTATAAACCTGTTCATTGTTGTTGTTAAGTGTCATCGAGTCGGTTCCAACCCATAGCAACCCTGTATAGGAGCAGTTGGTGAGCCTGAAGCTCTGACCTTGCAGTTCCAACTGACTTTGCGGTCCAGCGCATTAACCCACAGTGCCACACTGGGACTATATATATATATATTTTTTTTTTTTGTGGCCTCCCTCCAACCTCTCTTCAGCTTGTGTGTCTAGTTCTGCATCTACTCATATTGTTATTAAGTGTTTCTGAGTCAGTTCCAACCCATACCAACCCTCCATTGGGTTTTTGAGGAGCAGCTAGTGGGTTTGAACCATGGGAACCATTATTACAGAACTGTATATATAATAATATTTTCCTCTGTTGTCTTGAACCGTTGCATGCCTGTCAGTGTGTTCCCCCACCTCCATCATTTATTTCAACCTCTCTCTTGTTGTATATTGCCTTCTCCTTCACCCAAATGCATGTGTGTGTACCCTTTCTCTAGCAGTAACTTCCCCTCCTTTCTCCTCCCACCCCCCAGGTAACCATCACAGAATGTTTCTTTCAGTGTGAAATCCTTTTCTTGACTTTTTAAAGTACAGGTTTCATACAATTTGTCCTTTAGTGACTTTCACTTAGCATAATGTCCTCCATGTGTATCCATGTTACAAAGTTTCACAGATTTACCATTATTCTTCAATGCTGTATGTTGTTGTTATTAAGTGTCTTGAGTTGGTTCCAACCATAGAGACCATAGGGTTTCCATGGATCAGCTGGTGAGCTTGTATGATGTATTGTTGTTGTTGCTGAGTGCCGTTGAGTCAATTCCATCCCATAGTGACCCTCTATAAGGTTTCCAAGGAGCAGCTGGTGAGCTTGAACCACAGACCTTGCAGTTCAAATGGCTTTGCAGTCTGGCGTATTAACGCAGAGCGCCACACCAGGACTCCTGTATGTTGTATAGTATTCCATTATTATGGTTGTTGTTACGTACCATGGAGATGGTTCTGCTTCGTAATGACCCTGTACAGGGTTTCCTAGGAGCAGCTGGTGACCTTGTGGTTCAAACTGATGTTGCAGTCCAGAACATTACCCTACAGTGCCACACCAGGACTCCATAATATGTATCATATATTGTTTATCCAAATTTAGAATTTTTGAACTCTTGAAGTTCCATGCAAGAATACAGCAACAAGAAGAGGACTAGTCCCATCCTTCCCTTCCCTTTCTTTCCCTTCCCTTCCCACCTTAGGCTCCATCCTGCATTGAAAGGAGTTTCTTTTATATTTCTATGGACACCTCAGATCAACTATGCAAGCTCCAGCCATACTGTGTATCCAAGGTCGAACCCTACCATATATCCAAGATCCAGGTCATATATCTAAGCTCCAACCATATCCCACAGCTGTTTCTTGGCCATGCTTTGGACATAGGAATGTACCCTGCCATATGGATTGCTCTCAGGAAGACAGACCAAGGGTGGAGGCTCTGAAAGTAAAGTTGGGGCTATTTGGGCAGGAATTAAGGGGTTGAGGCCTTTGGTATGAGGCCTAGAAAGGAGTTATTGGGGGTTCAGTGCTAACAAGAATCCCTACTGCTATCAAGTCAATTTTAACTTCTACTGTCCATTAAGACAGTAAACTGCTCCTTCATGCATCTGAGACTAACTATTTATGGTAGCAGATAGCCTCAGCTTTATCTGAGGAGTGGTGGGTGGATTTGAACCACCAACCTTGCTGTTAGCAGCCCAGTGCTTAATGTTAACAAGAATACAGAAACATAGATGCACTCACTCATACATTGGCAGTTTCTCTGTGAGTGGTTTAATCCTTTAGCAGTCAATTTACAAGTGGATGTTTTTAAATCTATATATTAAGCAGGAGGTCAAGGAAAAGAAATACTGGCATTTTGCAAATGTAGCCTTCTGAGTAGTGAGTTCTTATAATAACTTATTTTGTACCACTTCTAAGGTTGAGTTACAGGAAATGTTCGGCACAGGTTACGTTGCTGGAAGACGCACAGTGATGAAACTAAGCACATGTACTACTTTGTAGTCTACCTCCTGATTGGCTTGTTCTTTTCACTCAAAATGCTAGTGACTAGTTTTCCCAGAAAAAAAATAAAAGGGGAGGAAAAAAACTGGAGGTGAATTGTTTTCGGGCAAAAAGTTAACAAACCCCCTTGCTGTGATCCATATGAGGGGGCTTCAGAGAGTTTGTTGAAAAAGTAGAATTACAAGAGAATGGAAATTTCCCACAAACTTTTTGAAGCTCTCTCCTATATACCCTACCTTTCCAACTAGAAAGCAAAATACAAGATGCAGAGGAGGCGCGTCCATGGGTAAGACTGACACCTGATTCCTCTGGCCAGCTGGGAAGAAATCGGTCAGGGGTGACTTCAGATGAACAACAGCAAAGGTTTCACCAAGGAGGTAAAGACTGGACTGGGATGAGGGTCTAGAGGTCCCTATCAATGCCTTCTAGACCTTCACTTGGGAGACAATTATCACCTTCAGGGATTGATGTAGAATGGGGTCCTATTCCCTAGAAAGAAATGGATTGTACTGGGGACGCCATAAACCAAGACCAAGCCCACAGCCATAGAGTCCATCTGAGTCATGTTGTTGTTGTTGTTGTTGTTGCTGTTTGGTGCCATCAAATCAGTTCCAACTCATAATGACCCTGCATACAGTGAGGAGGTTTCTGAGACCATCAATCTTTACTAATAGCAGACAGCCTCATCTTTCTCTCGCAAAGCAACTGATGGGTTGAATCACCAACTTTGCAATTAGCAGCTCAACACTTATCCCACAGTCACCAGGGTTCCTCAAAGGCTTCATGGTGTTGTTCAGTGCCATCGAGTCGATTCCGACTCATAGTGAACCTGTATAGGGTTTCTGAGGAGCGGCTGCTGAGTTTGAACCACTGACCTTGTAGTTCAAACTTGCAGTTGAATGCTTGTCCTACAGGAGGCTTCACAAATACCTAAAATTCTTTGCAAATTTGGGTTGAAAATGCACTATTCTGGGGATGGGGACATAGACAGTGATTTTGGCAATAGGCTCCCTGAATCTTGGGCAGAGAAACAGGTCAGTCACCAGACACCTTCTATTTCCAACTCTTAGAATGTCAGTTCTCGAAGGGAAAGAAAGGTGCCACCTTGTGTGTGGGGGGGTGGGGTTGGGGGAGGGGTGCACCCGTGAGTCAGTTCTGAGGCTGTAAATCTTTACGGGAGCAGAAAGTCCCAAGTTTCTCCCACAGTGCAGCTGGTAGATTTGAACTGCTGACCTTGTGGTTAGCAGCCCAACGCATAACCCACTATCCCATCAGAGCTCCTTTTCCCTAAGCTTTG